AGCGAGAGAGTGCCAAGGTTTTGGGGGTTATGTGGAACCCAGGCGGGGGCGCTTTCTCGTTTGACGGCCTGGCGGTTCTTGCTGACGTGACTCCGACCAAACGAGTGGTGCTGAGCTGCGCAGCTCGGCTGTTCGATCCGCTAGGGTTCGTGGCGCCGTTCGTGATTGTGGCGAAGAGCCTGTTCCACGAGCTGCGGCAGCTGGGGGTCGCCTGGAACGATGCTCTCTCGGCGGACTGCAGCCTGGTCTTCTCGAGCTGGCTGAGCGGTAGTGGGGCGCTGAAACAGCTGTGGATCCCGCGCTGCTACTCGAGCCGCGGCTGGCGTTTCGGTGAGGACGTGTCGCTGCACGTCTTCGGTGACGCGTCTCCAAAGGGGTACGGAGCGGCGGTGTATCTTCGTACCGCCCGGCCAGACGGCTTCGGTGAGGTCTCGCTGGCGTTGGCTAAGGCACGGCTCGCCCCGCTGAAGCGGGTTACACTGCCGCGGCTCGAGCTTCTGGGGGGCCTCTTGGCCGCGCGCCTGGCCGCACTCGTGCGGCAGGCTCTGCGGCTTCCCGAGGACACGGTGACTCGGTGCTGGACCAGCTCGATGATCGCGCTGGGATGGATCCGCGGTGAGCCTCAGCGGTGGAAGCAATTTCTCGCTAACCGAGTGACAGAGATACAGAGTTTGACGGCTCCGTCAGACTGGTCGCACTGTCCAGGTGAGGAGAACCCGGCCGACCAGACAGCCCGCGGGCTGTCAGCAGAGGAGCTGGTGGGATCGCAGCTGTGGTTCAGTGGTCCGAGCTGGCTCGCCTCGCCCCACGGTTGGCCCGGCGCTTGCGAGGCGCCGTTGCCTCGTGGCGAGCTGCCTGAGTCAGTTCAGCTGACAGGCGCGGCAGTAGAGAATGGTTCGTCGTCAGTCGAAGGTGACGACGGCCCCTGTCTGGTGGCTGGTGCGGGTGATCAGCCAGCGTTTGACACCGCCTGCTGGTCGTCTCTGTCGAAGGCTGTCAGAGCTGTGGGCTGGGTGCGCTAATTTTCTAACAACGGGCGGAGCGCGCGTCAGAAATGCACCCTCGCTGACCTGTCTTCCGACGAGATCGTGTCAGCCCAGCACGTGCTCCTGAGAGAGGAGCAGCGACAGGCGTTCGCAGCAGAGCTGAGAGCGTTGCAGGAGGGCAAGGAGCTTCCGAGGAGTTCCAGCTCGTACAGGCTGACTCCGTTCATAGGTGAGGATGGGCGCCTGAGAATCAAGGGTAGACTGCAGCAGTCTGAGCTATCGCATGAGGAGCGGCACCCGGTTCTGCTTCCGAAGGGCCGGGTCGCTGAGTTGTTGGTTCGGGACCAGCATCGGCTCATGAGCCACTGCGGTGTGTCGACGCTCATGACTGCAGTCCGAGCAGCGTGCTGAGTTGTGGGCTTACGTTGCCTCGCAAAGCGAGTAAAGCGTCTCTGTGCAAGATGTTAGAGGCAGGACGCTCAAGCCTGCAACGAGCCGGCAGCACCGCTGCCGCGCGACAGGGTGACGCGAGCCCCATCGTTCGTGGTCACTGGTGTGGATTTCGCGTGGCCGGTTTTCGCTCTGGACTGTCCCCGCCAGAAGCTATACGTGTGCCTTTTCACTTATGCTGTGACGCGCGCGGTGCACCTCAAGTTGACGGGGTCGTTGTCGCAGGACGACCAGACAGACGGTTCGCGGCCAGGAGAGGTCTCCCGTCCGTGATGTGCTCAGATAACGCACGGACGTTCTTGGGAGCTGACGTGATGATGACCCGATACTTCGGACATCTGGCTCCTCAGTGGAAGTTTATCGTGCGGCGTTCACCGTGGTGGGGCGGCTGGTGGGAGCGACTGGTGCGCTCTGTAAAGGTAGGACTGCGAAAGTCGCTGGGCACCAGATGTCTCACTCGAGTAGAGTTGGAGACTGTGCTGATGGAGGTGGAGTCATGTGTCAACTCGCGACCGCTGACGCAGGTGACTGACTCGGTGGACAGCGAGAACCCGCTGACGCCCAGTCATTTCCTGGCGGGACGTGGCGCCAGCTTCCAAGCCAGGGTGCTGGAGGATGCAGAGTCCGTGAGCAGTAAGATGCTGTCCGACAGAGCTCCTGTGCGGGAGAGACGGCTGAACCGATTCTGGTCCGTGTGGAGGAATAAGTATCTGCGGACCCTCCCTCCGTCGGTCCGCGAGTTCAGGTCCCACGGTAAGCTGAGGCTGGGGTCAGTGGTCCTGATCAGGGAGGACCAAGCCCCTAGGATGAAGTGGGTGATCGGGGTAGTCACCAAGCTGTACTCAGGCAGGGACGGTGTCACTAGGTCAGCTGAGGTCCGAACTAAAGGGGGCCAGCTGAGGACCCGGGCAGTCAAGCGGCTGTGAGACTTGGAACTGTGTAACGATCATTGAAGCCGTTCACCACTCCCCCCCCCCCCCCCTTCTCCGCCGGGCCAAGTTTTGTGTAACGCAGTGCCTTGTTTGTTAAGCATTGCCGTGTCAATCCAAAGGCGGGGAGGATGTTGGGGATTTTCAGTTAGCAGTAGATTTTCTTCGATGCTAAGCAGTGTTATAGGAGGCCGGTGGCGGTCCGACATTTTGTAGTAGCCAGCGGGCGGTTCACCCGAACGGTCAGATGCCCCGCCCGAGGAGAGGGAGGGGCTGGTCAGAGAAATCAGGAATTACAAGTGTGTGTTCAGTGAGTTTTTCTAACACAATATGTTCCTAAAAACAAAATGTTGATCCGGGTCATTCTGGGGCAGTGACCTATTCGGACCCCTGAGAAGTGCATGGAAGATGTATAATGCGGTTCTTGTTATCAATAAATTCGAAATGAGCACCAGACACTACCTCATACAGCAAGCCCAAGAGCAAAAAAGCGGATTGGCTTTGACTGTGGTCTGACCTTCGAAACTGACCTTAGGTCAATGGGATTAGTTCATTTAAATGTTGCGTTGACTAAGAAAGCACCTCAGCGATGTATGGTGCAACCGCGATGCAACAACTCTCCGTTGTTACATCAGATCGAACGATTCCCTAGAAATTGACTCCGCAGAATCCGTGGCCTGTCTTGGAGCTGCTGTTGGTCAGCAACCTTACAAGATACATCTAAATTGTTAATACCAAATGACCCACTGTTCAATTGCCTGCAGCTATGCATCCTTTGGCGCGGCTGTGCCGCGCAGTTCGGAAACCAACCTGAAAAAACCTTCGAGTGGGTTAATTTGACCCCCCACCCGAGCGTGTTATTAGCGCGCTTCGGTCCGTTCCATTAATCTTGGAACGGACTTAATATTAAACAACCTTTTTTAGCTGTCACATCTGGAGCGCAAATTAAACTGGACGGAACCCGGGGTGAAATGAAGAATTGCAGATAGGTTAGGTAAACTTTATCGACTCAGCCCACCCCCCAACCCATTAAAAAAGTGACACCCCTGGATTGAGATAAGCCAGAACACCATTGAAACGCCACGACGCCTACAGCACCGTGTGAGCTGTGTCCTGAACAGCGACACCACTTCCTTTTCCTTGGCGCCTTCCTTCCTTCTTCCGGCGCCGTTTGAACTGTGCCAGGCCACGATGGGCGGCCGCAGAGCGGCCGCGTACAGACTGTATATTCTCCGCGAGCTCGGGACACATCGGTCGGATTTTTCCGGCCCATTTCCCACGTGGGGTCAGCCGCGGCGGCCGTGGCCGTGGCCGCTCGCCCAAGGCTTAACCAATCCGTCTCGCTGGCGGTCCCGCACGCCGGGCACGCGCGCGCCGTCCGGACGCCGCTCGCCGTGTTTGTCGCAGTCGGCGCCGGCGGCGGCGGCGGCCGAGTTGCCGGCTTCTGATATTGTTTCGTCCCGGGGGGGAGGCCAGCCGAGCTGAGTCGACTCACCGCCCAAGCCCCGACAGTGGCATCAAAGTCGGCAGACTGGTGGTGTCGGCGGAAGCTGGCACCGCCGCCGCGGCGCCCACAGTAACCGAGCGGCAATTGGCGGCTGCGCTCCAGTTTCCGCACGGAATTGCGTCCCTAAAAACCGGCCCGTCCGCCATAAAGCGTCCTGTAGTGGAAAAACAAGGGCAGGCGGCTCGATGTTGAGGGTGGAGGCGAGTACGTCTCCCATTATCCCACTGGATTAGCTTTGTTTGGTGCGATGTGCTCTGTCGCTATAAAACTGCTAGGTCGACGATGTTCTTAACAGAAGTAGAAAATATTCAGTTAACTATTCGTATCGCGGATCTTTTAGTGCGTGAAGAGTACAAAAGGTAGCAAAAGGCAATTCAAACAGGACGCTAGTAAACTCGGGCCAAAGGATCTGTCGACCAGAGCATGCTAAAACAGAGATGCACCACAATATAAAATTAAGCAATAGAGTGACTCATTCGTCTCCGAAGTAAGCAAAATAATTTTATAAATTTTAGCGGCGTGCTAGATGACATATCCAAAGCCGTCCCGAATAAGTTAAGTTCGCATCGTTCCGCCTGTCAGAAAAAAAAACGCTGGGTTGCCTGTGATCAAAGACATGGCACGCCCCACTGCTTAACTGCTCAGAGACCTCACAGGGATCTCGCAGTTACGAGCTGGCGAAATCCCCTGTAGTAATTAAGCACTATCTGTGCGATCCGCTGGAATAATGTTATTAACCACCTCCACTAACTGCGGGCTGGGAGAGCTGGGCCACTGGCGCCAAATGCAGCTAGCAGTTTGTTACAGTGGCCGGTAGTTACAGGGGTTCGACATGCATATTTTGCATGACAACGCCAGAAGTGAGTGCTGAACCATTCCGGGCCAGGTGCGGCCAAGCACCGGACAGCAGCAAGGCTATCATCATCCGACGTAGGCAACGGCGCGTCATTATCACCACATGGTAATGTTGTGTATGCTAACTGCCTGAAACAAGTATTGGGTATCAAGTCGGCGTAGGGTAGATGTGCTTTATCTTTTACAGGGCCCATGTTTGCGGCCAAATTTGATGCAATGCAGCATCTGTGAGTTTTTTTACGTGGCCATCCTGGCTCCAAGGGCAAAACCTACCTCCCATCAGCGTTGGGTAGACGTTGAGCGCCCCATTGACACTCCAAGAGGTGATCTGGACCGTGGCGCGCACGTGGTCCGGCACGTGGCAGGTGAGCAGAGCGCTCTGTCCCGGAGGGGCCCGGCCGTCTCGCGCCGTAACACGGTAGCTCTGCAAAACAACTGTGAACAGAGGGGACGGCTGTTACTGAGGCGCAGGACCACGCGGGCGTGACCGCTGCACCAGCATAGAAGCGGACGCAGGACAGCCCCTGCGGACACCAGACCAGCACGGTGTGGAACGGTTCGGGGTACGGCACGGCTGGAAGGCACGCCATTGCGACACGGTAAGTGGAGGTACCTGTCCAGCACGGCTGCTCCGGTCACTAGAGGAGCCAGCCCCGCAGGATTGCCACGGTCACTGAGACGCCAGGCCAGCAGGATTGCTACGGTCGTTGCAGACACCAATCCAGTAGGATTGCTCTGGTCACTGGAGACCCCAGCCCAGCGGGATTGCCACGGTCACTGAGGAGCCAGCCCCGCAGGATTGCCACGGTCACTGAGACGCCAGGCCAGCAGGATTGTCACGGTCGTTGCAGACGCCAGGCCAGCAGGATTGTCACGGTCGTTGCAGACGCCAATCCAGCAGGATTGCTCTGGTCACTGGAGACCCCAGCCCAGCGGGATTGCCACGGTCACTGAGACGCCAGGCCAGCAGGATTGCTACGGTCGTTGCAGACACCAATCCAGTAGGATTGCTCTGGTCACTGAGACGCCAGGCCAGCAGGATTGCTACGGTCACTGAAGGCACAGGATCAGTGGAGGGCGGGGTACGACACAGTTATAGGAGCGCGAACCCAGCGGGGTGCGGCGGGGCCGCTTGGCGGAACACCACCGGTATCGACCGGATGTATCCGTCAGTGGAAGTCTCTCTGGTAGACGGGACTGGTGTCAGACCTTAAAAGGTGAGGGCGGCTGGTCGCAAGCTTGGATTAAGGTCTTTCGTGCGTTGCCAGCACTGTGACTGATGGGCAAAATCGGGGCAATTTAGTGGGTGTCTCTTAAAGCATGACGTGCAGTCATCTAGTTGTAGCCACGCAGGCAGGTTTTTTATCTCTTTCCTACGTACCAGTTCTTCGAACACGCGTTTCTTGGTACACGTATTCCTTCGCATTCTCCGTCCGTCTTATTGCATTTATTTGTACCGTATTTCTTCGTGTCGTATTTCTTCGCAAACACACGTCTTCAAATCGCACTTCTTGGCGTGCGCCTTTTTTGTTTCGCATTCCTTCGTATGGGCGATTCTCCGTATCGCACTTGGCTTCGTATAACCTTTTTTGCTCACAGCTTTTTCCACATCGCATTTGTTTCGCGTATGCAGTCATTTGCATGAAATGTGAGATTTTGAGAGCAGAGGCAATGATGAAGGACGAAGCTATTTTATTTATACTGAAAGTGATATGCCCGCCAATCGGATGAGATTTATGTACTGGGCCTGGTGGAGACAGCCCTTCTAAAGCAAGACTTCGACCTGCTGAGAAGTTATCACAAAGGTGGTTTTGGCGATATGGCGGTTTTCTCCTCGAATCTTGCAAGGTGTATCCCGTCCAGTAAAAGTAAAAAGCAAATGTAAAAGTACCCCGATCGGTTACCAGTTAGAGCCAATTGAAGACTGTTGCGGTTTCGCCAACAATAAGTGCGCTGAGATGCCGGCTGAGGGACAACACCTGAGGCGCCGGACTGACACTTTGGCATGCGCCTCCGAAAGAGATATTCCGGCCGGTAATGGTGAGAATGTGCTGCAGCCGAGCCCGACAGCAGCGCAATAAGCCGGTGAGCTACTCAGGCTGCTGGCCGAGTCTTAAGTCCTCCACGCGGAATGTGCAGAGCCTCTCAAACGCGCCCAGTTAAGGCTAAGCGATCTTAGGCTGTCGCGATGCAGCCAAACAGGAAGTGTACATGGAACTGTGCATTTGCGTTTAGAAGGTTCGTCCTAGCAAACTTGTGCATTTACAGAGCTTTGCGCCCACACAAATTTGCATGCGAAGAAATACGGCTGTGGTGGCGGCTGGGAAGGCACGCAACGCTGGCAGTGATGCAGCACCCAGCACAGACGGCATCGGTGTCGGTCACCAGGGGTTCAAGGCTCCGCATTGCATTTCTATGAACCACTCATTCCAAAGACCACTTACCTGGCAGAACTATCTCCCGGAAAAATGTTACTACGAGGGTGGTTTTAAACCGGACGAGTTCAACGAGGGAGGCTGTAGGCCGTAGAACATGTGCAAGCATTCGCTCGAAATTCTTAACATTCGGCGCAGAAGTAGAATACTGTCATGGCGCACGGCTTCTAGAACTGCTGATGCCAGCTATCCGCACATAAGTAACTGCTGTTTAGAGATTATTCCGTTCGCGGTACGCAGCGCCGTGTAGAGTAAAACTGAGTGTAGCTTCCCAGCGTGTGACACCACTCAGCACTCTTCCCAGCATGTGACACCACCCGGCATTCTTCACAGCGTGTGACACCACCCGGCACTCTTCGCGGTGCCCTTGCGAGTGCCAAGGGGGCACGCGACGGCATCGGAGGCGCAGCCAAGTACGCCGTGGCGCGAGACAGTCTCGGACATAGTGCCAGTGACCAGAGCCACGCATGGGTCTCATGGGTCTCACGAACCCACGAACAAGGCGTGGGTCTCTTTGAAAAATGCCCGTCTGATCCGACGTCCAGAGCCTAAATCAAAGTCCCAGGTACTAGCTCACATTGGACGCATTACAACGATCCGAGACCTCGGTGCTGGACACCGCGTCAGCGTGCGCGTTTGCCCCCTTCGATCGGGCCTGACTCGTTTGACTTGCGGCGCGTTGGGTTGATTCCTTCTCTGACCCCCAGCAGCTGAACCTACCTTGCGATAGACTCCGTTACCGATTCAGGATGATGTGGCATGGTTCCGGGCCTATTCTGAGGAGCCGATTCCGTTGGTAACGGGCAAGCATGCGCACCGCATACGCGCCGCTCCGTGGGCTACAAATAGCACGCATTGAATATGAACTTCAGTGACAGAAGATAAAAACATGCGGGGTTCATTTGCCGGCCTTGCCACAGGGAACCGCCAGGAGATCATTTCTTTTATTATTTGCAGTTCTGTCCGAATCGACGCATCAATTATTCGTTGGCAATACGGTTGCCTCATTTCCAACTCTGACTCGTGCATTTTTTTAATGATCCATTTCGCTCTGACTCGCCGTAAATTGACTCATTCCAGAATCAACTCCGAGATTTGAGGAGACAGCCGCTAAATGCATTCACTGGTAAAAATTCCTTTATTTGGACCTTACCATGCGCGCCCCTCTCCATGGCACGGAGGATGGGGCCGCGACAATCAAACTGCACCTCTGGCTCCACAGACGCACAGCTTAACCACTGCACTGCTGGTAAACCCCAATTTATCTTATCTTATCCAACCGTCGCCCTTGGGCTTATGGCCATACCAACCCCTGCACATCCCTAATCAGTCATACCCAACCATTTCCTTGCCGTTTTGATTCATCCAGCACTTCAGTTCTAAATCATGGAAATGTTTGGAGAAAGGTAGTGCCTAAACTCACTGTTTTACATTGGCGAGTGCGGAAATAGGGTGAATGGAGCTATACATGACCAAAAACAAAAAGCAAACAAACAAAAAAAAAACGCGAGAAGTAGCGTTGCGTATTATTTCTTGAATACCCCACCTGACGATCCATCAACATCTTACACAGACCCTCACTTCTACGCATGGACTCATGGATTCATCCAAGCCCGTGGAGTCAAACTGGATAACATCACGCGTGTTGTTATTACCACTGGATGTTCACGACGCACTCAGCTGCTGAGCCTTCATGACACTACTTGCCTTTCACCATGGCAGGAAGGATGAGCACCGCGGGGAATCGAAGCCCGTATCTCAGGTTATCTGGACGCGCAGTTTAAACACTGCCCCCCTGACAGCCCATACCTCTCAGAGTCTGCACTCCGTCTACCAGGGGTTGCTCGCGTGACTATGAGGAGCCCGGTTGCCGTCCTGGGGCTGCCCCATCAGAGCAGCCATAACTTACTGTGTCTCGGGGCAAAGCGGTACGGCGTTGATCTGACACTTAAGAACGATAGCTCGCGGCGAACTACGGACACGGGTTTTGGCTCCCCTTTAAGCCAACTTCACCTACACCATAGATCTAGTTACTCGCTTCCGTCATCGTTAACGTCATTTAAACTCGCATAAATCCACAGCTGTCCCCGTGGGAGGTTCATCGTCGGACGGGCAGTGTTTCAGCGATGTTGTGACCCACGATGCCCTGCTCCACGGCACCCTGCTCTGTTCCCGCCGGTGTGGCCCGGTCTCAGACAGCCGCGGCGGAGCCAGTCTTCGGTGGCAGCCAACCGTGAGATATGGCAGCACTGACGTCAGCAGCGTGTGGTCAGCACTCCGTCATGGGCGGCCGCGGCGCTGAGGTGCGGCCGGCGATCCATCACACGGCGGCCGGCCGATCGGCGCGGGGGCGGCGGGGGATGCTGACCAGCCCCGGCGCGCCACAGGCCGGCCGATCAGCGCGGGGGCGGCGGAGGATGCTGGGCAGCCCCGGCGCGCCACAGGCCGGCCGATCGGCGCGGGGACGGCGGGGGATGCTGGCCAGCCCCGGCGCGCCACAGACCGGCCGACGCCGCCGCCGTCCGCCACCAAGACGGATGGGCACCGGCCGAGCGCCGGGCCCGCCGACTGTCCCACGAGGTGACCTACAAGGTCAGCAGGCGCCGACACCGCTGGCACACCGACAACGGCTGGATTACACGGGCTGGACGACTGGATCGATGCAGGCTGAGAGCGCCACTTGGGGGAGGTCACATTTGCCGCGAAACATTGAGTGTTGTGATTATGTGGAGTGTCACTTTCTCGATCAAACGCACCCACTTATGCCTTCATGCGCTGACGAATCCTGCTTATGTCGGCAGCCTACCTTCCACGGACGTTTTGCGCGGCTGTTTGGCATACTTTTTACCGTGCTCATCCCCAAGCGAAGCTTCGCCACTAAACAGCGCGCTTCTGTAATCCTCTTGTCTCATCACGCTGGGGTCAAGTGCTGCCACGATGGCTTTGCTCGCACCCCATTCCCCTCATCAGCATAATCGTGATCTGCTGCACTGGCGTACG